ACTCGCTAACAGCACTTCCCCCTACAGTCTGTTAAGGCTACACGGGGGATCTTTATATTTGTATGTTGGTTTTGATGTAAAAAAAACATCATGGGACAAAGTGGGGTGTCTCTGTGAGTCTCTGTGGGTGTCTATGAGTCTCTGTGAGTCTCTGTGGGTGTCTATGTGTCTCTGTGGGTCTCTGTGGGTGTCTATGTGTCTCTGTGAGTCTCTATGGGTGTCTCAGAGTCTCTGTGGTTCTCTATGGGTGTCTATGTGTTTCTGTGAGTCTCTATGAGTGTCTCTGAGTCTCTGTGGGTGTCTATGAGTCTCTGAGTCACTATGGGTGTCTGTGGGGTCTCTGAGTCTGTATGGGTGTCTATGAGTCTCTGGGTCTCTCTGAGTCTCTATGGGTGTCTATGGGGTCTCTGAGTCTGTATGGGTGTCTATGAGTCTATGGGATCTCTGAGTCTCTATGGGTGTCTATGGGTTATATGAGTTTGTAAGGGTGTCTATGAGTCGTTGGTGTCTTTCTGAGTCTCTAAGAGTGTCTATGAGTCTCTGAGTCTGTATGGGTGTCTATGAGTCCCTGGGTCTCTCTGAGTCTCTATGAGTGTCTATGAGTCTCTGGGTCTCTCAGGGTGTCTATGAGGAGTTTCTGTGAATCTCTGTGGGTAGCTAGGATTGTTTCTGAGTACCTCTGAGTGTCTGTGGGTATCTGAGTCTCTATGAGTCTCTTTGGGTGTCTCTGGGTTCTCTGAGTCTGTATGGGTGTCTATGAGTCTCTGAGTCTCTATGGGTGTCTATGAGTTCTATGAGTTTGCATGGGTGTCTATGAGTATCTGAGTCTCTATGAGTCTCTGTGGGTGTCTATGGGGTCTCTGAGTCTGTATGGGTGTCTATGGGTTATATGAGTTTGTAAGGGTGTCTATGAGTCTTTGGTGTCTTTCTGAGTCTCTAAGAGTGTCTATGAGTCTCTGAGTCTGTATGGGTGTCTATGAGTCTCTGAGTCTCTATGAGTGTCTCTGAGTTTTTGTGATTCTCTGAGTCTCTATGGGTATCTATGAGGAGTTTCTGTGAATCTCTGTGGGTTGCTAGGACTGTTTCTGATAGCCTGTAAGTGTTTGTGGGTATATGAGTCTCTGTTTATATTTGACTAGGGAAGGCCCACTGCTGAGCTATGTTACTGTTTCATAAGTGGCCTGGCTTTCACAGATGAATTGGCGTATCACATATACATTTATAGCAGCCAAATACTACAAAATGCATTCATATACACAGAGACCCATAGAGATACCTAGAGACCCACAGAAACCCACAGAGACCCATACTCATAGAGATACATAGAGACCCACAGAAACCCACAGAGACCCATACTCATAGAGATACATAGAGACCCACAGAGACCCACAGAGACCCATACTCATAGAGATACATAGAGGCCCACAGAGACCCATAGAGACTCACAGAGCCCCACAGATACCCATAGAAACCCATACTCATAGAGATACATAGAGACCCACAGAGACCCATAGCGATACATGGAGACACGTAGATTTACACAGAGACCCGTAGACACCCATAATACTCTAAATGCGTGAAATGTGGAGGGAAAACCGGAAGACCCGAATAAAAATCCAGGCTACCACGGGGAGAAAGAGAGAAAGACGCAGCCTCCAAATATACAACAGGCATCGTCAGGGTTGGGATTGAACCCAAGGCCTCCTGTATACCAAACGAGGAGTTACCATCTCACCACCGAGTCTATAGGCAGTGTTGGGTCTATAGTGGAGTGTTGAGTCTATGGTGCAGTGTTGAGTCTATGGTGCAGTGTTGAGTCTATGATGCAGTGTTGAGTCTATGGTGCAGTGTTGGGTCTATGGTGCAGTGTTGAGTCTATGGTGCAGTGTTGAGTCTATGGTGCAGTGTTGAGTCTATGATGCAGTGTTGAGTCTATGGTGCAGTGTTGAGTCTGTGGTGCAGTGTTGAGTCGGTGGTGCAGTGTTTAGTTAACGGTGCAGTGTTGAGTCTGTGGTGCAGTGTTGAGTCTATGGTGCAGTGTTGATTCTATGGTGCAGTGTTGGGTCTATGGTGCAGTGTTGAGTCTATGGTGCAGTGTTGAGTCTATGGTGCAGTGCTGGGTCTATGTTGCAGTGTTGAGTCTATGGTGCAGTGTTGAGTCTATGGTGCAGTGTTGAGTCTATGGTGCAGTGTTGAGTCTATGGTGCAGTGTTGAGTCTATGGTGCAGTGTTGATTCTATGGTGCAGTGTTGGGTCTATGGTGGAGTGCTGAGTCTATGGTGCAGTGCTGAGTCTATGGTGCAGTGTTGAGTCTATGGTGCAGTGTTGAGTCTATGGGGCAGTGTTGAGTCTTTGGTGCAGTGATGAGTCTATGGTGCAGTGTTGAGTCTATGGTGCAGCGTTGAGGCTATGGTGCAGTGTTGAGTCTATGGTGCAGTGTTGAGTCTACGGTGCAGTGTTGAGTCTATGGGCAGTGTTGAGTCTATGTTGCAGTGTTGAGTCTATGTTGCAGTGTTGAGTCTATGGTGCAGTGTTGAGTCTATGTTGCAGTGTTGAGTCTATGGTGCAGTGTTGAGTCTATGTTGCAGTGTTGAGTCTATGGTGCAGTGCTGAGTCTATGGTGCAGTGTTGAGTCTATGTTGCAGTGTTGAGTCTATGTTGCAATGTTGAGTTGACGGTGCAGTGTTGAGTCTATGGTGCAGTGTTGAGTCTATGGTGCAGTGGTGAGTCTATGGTGCAGTGTTGAGTCTATGGTGCAGTGTAGAGTCTATGGTGCAGTGTTGAGTCTATGGTGAGTGTTGAGTCTATGGTGCAGTGTTGGGTCTATGGTGCAGTGTTGAGTCTATGGTGCAGTGTTGGGTCTATGGTGGAGTGCTGAGTCTATGGTGCAGTGTTGGGTCTATGGTGCAGTGTTGAGTCTGTGGTGCAGTGTTGAGTCTATGGTGCAGTGTTGATTCTATGGTGCAGTGTTGGGTCTATGGTGCAGTGTTGAGTCTATGGTGCAGTGTTGAGTCTATGGTGCAGTGCTGGGTCTATGTTGCAGTGTTGAGTCTATGGTGCAGTGTTGAGTCTATGGTGCAGTGTTGAGTCTATGGTGCAGTGTTGAGTCTATGGTGCAGTGTTGAGTCTATGGTGCAGTGTTGATTCTATGGTGCAGTGTTGGGTCTATGGTGGAGTGCTGAGTCTATGGTGCAGTGCTGAGTCTATGGTGCAGTGTTGAGTCTATGGTGCAGTGTTGAGTCTATGGGCAGTGTTGAGTCTATGGTGCAGTGTTGAGTCTATGGTGCAGTGTTGAGTCTATGGTGCAGCGTTGAGGCTATGGTGCAGTGTTGAGTCTATGGTGCAGTGTTGAGTCTACGGTGCAGTGTTGAGTCTATGGGCAGTGTTGAGTCTATGTTGCAGTGTGTGAGTCTATGTTGCAGTGTTGAGTTTTTGGTGCAGTGTTGAGTCTATGTTGCAGTGTTGAGTCTATGGTGCAGTGTTGAGTCTATGTTGCAGTGTTGAGTCTATGGTGCAGTGCTGAGTCTATGGTGCAGTGTTGAGTCTATGTTGCAGTGTTGAGTCTATGTTGCAATGTTGAGTTGACGGTGCAGTGTTGAGTCTATGGTGCAGTGTTGAGTCTATGGTGCAGTGGTGAGTCTATGGTGCAGTGTTGAGTCTATGGTGCAGTGTAGAGTCTATGGTGCAGTGTTGAGTCTATGGTGAGTGTTGAGTCTATGGTGCAGTGTTGGGTCTATGGTGCAGTGTTGAGTCTATGGTGCAGTGTTGGGTCTATGGTGGATTGCTGAGTCTATGGTGCAGTGTTGGGTCTATGGTGCAGTGTTGAGTCTATGGTGCAGTGTTGAGTCTATGGTGCAGTGTTGAGTCTATGGTGCAGTGTTGATTCTATGGTGCAGTGTTGGGTCTATGGTGGAGTGCTGAGTCTATGGTGCAGTGCTGAGTCTATGGTGCAGTGTTGAGTCTATGGTGCAGTGTTGAATCTATGGTGCAGTGCTGAGTCTATGTTGCAGTGTTGAGTCTATGGTGCAGTGTTGAGTCTATGTTGCAGTGTTGAGTCTATGGTGCAGTGTTGAGTCTATGGTGCAATGTTGAGTCTATGGTGCAGTGTTGAGTCTATGGTGCAGTGCTGAGTCCTATGGTGCAGTGTTTGAGTCTATGGTGCAGTGTTGAGTCTATGGTGCAGTGTTGAGTCTAGGTGCGTGCTGAGTCTATGGTGCAGTGTTGAGTCTATGGTGCAGTGCTCAGTCTATGGTGCAGTGTTGAGTCTATGTTGCAAGTGTTTGAGTCTATGGTGCAGTGTTGAGTCTATGGTGCAGTGGTGAGTCTATGGTGGAGTGTTGAGTCTATGGTGCAGTGTTGAGTCTATGGTGCAGTGTTGAGTCTATGGTGGAGTGTTGAGTCTATGGTGCAGTGCTGAGTCTATGTTGCATTGTTGAGTCTATGGTGCAGTGTTGAGTCTATGGTGCAGTGTTGAGTCTATGGTGCAGTGTTGAGTCTATGGTGCAGTGCTGAGTCTATGGGCAGTGTTGAGTCTATGGTGCAGTGTTGAGTCTATGGTGCAGTGTTGAGTCTAAGGTGCAGTGTTGAGTCTATGGTGCAGTGTTGAGTCTATGCTGCAGTGTTGAGTCTATGGGCATTGTTCAGTCTATGAGCAGTGTTGAGTCTATGGGCAGTGTTGAGTCTATGGTGCAGTGTTGAGTCTATGGTTCAGTGTTGAGTCTATGGTGCAGTGTAGAGTCTATGGTGCAGTGTTGAGTCTATGGTGCAGTGTTGAGTCTATGGTGCAGTGTTGAGTCTATGGTGCAGTGTTGAGTCTATGATGCAGTGTTGAGTCTATGGTGCAGTGCTGAGTCTATGGTGCAGTGTTGAGTCTATGTTGCAGTGTTGAGTCTATGGTGCAGTGTTGAGTCTATGGTGCAGTGTTGAGTCTATGATGCAGTGTTGAGTCTATGGTGCAGTGTTGGGTCTATGGTGCAGTGTTGAGTCTATGGTGCAGTGTTTAGTCTATGGTGCAGTGTTGAGTCTATGATGCAGTGTTGAGTCTATGGTGCAGTGTTGAGTCTGTGGTGCAGTGTTGAGTCTGTGGTGCAGTGTTTAGTTGACGGTGCAGTGTTGAGTCTGTGGTGCAGTGTTGAGTCTATGGTGCAGTGTTGATTCTATGGTGCAGTTTGGGTCTATGGTGCAGTGTTGAGTCTATGGTGCAGTGTTGAGTCTATGGTGCAGTGCTGGGTCTATGTTGCAGTGTTGGTCTATGGTGCAGTGTTGAGTCTATGGTGCAGTGTTGAGTCTATGGTGCAGTGTTGAGTCTATGTTGCAGTGTTGGGTCTATGGTGAAGTGTTGGGTCTATGGTGAAGTGTTGAGTCTATGGTACAGTGGTGAGTCTATGTTGCAGTGTTGAGTCTATGGTGCAGTGCTGAGTCTATGTTGCAGTGTTGAGTCTATGGCGCAGTGTTGAGTCTATGGTGCAGTGTTGAGTCTATAGTGCAGTGTTGAGTCTGCGGTGCAGTTTTGAGTCTATGGTGCAGTGCTGAGTCTATGGTGCAGTGTTGTGTCTATGGTGCAGTGCTGAGTCTACGAATGACATCTGCTGACCCGATTTTTCCTGCCCCAGGCCCAGCCCCATCCATGGCGACTCAGAGGAGAGAATGAAGTCATGTGACCACTTTGGACGACGTTCAAAGGGCACCTGCGATCTCACCTCCGATATTCGACCCCTAACCAGGGTAACCCCACAACGACACGGCCACTGTGAACCCCACTGACACGGCCATTGTGAACACGACTGACACGGCCACTGTGAACCCCACCCACCGAGACGGTCATTGTGAACCCCACTGACACGGCCATTGTGAACCCCACCGATACGGCCATTGTGAATGACAAGACCACTGTGAACCCCACCCACCGATGCGGCCATTTTGAATGACACGGCCATTGTGAACACCATTGACACGGCGATTGTGAACCTCACTGACACGGCCATTGTGAACCCCACTGACACGGCCATTGTAAATGACACGGCCATTGTGAACCCCACCGACACGGCCATTGTGAACCCCATTGATACGGCCATTGTGAACCCCACTGACACGGCCATTGTGAACCCCACCCACTGATGCGGCCATTGTAAACCCCACCGACACGGCCATTGTGAACCTCACTGACATGGCCATTGTGAACCCCACTGACATGGCCATTGTGAACCCCATTGACACGGCGATTGTGAACCCCATTGACACGGCCATTGTTAACCCCATTGACATGGCCATTGTGAACCTCACTGATACGGCCATTGTGAACCTCACTGACACGGCCATTGTGAACCCCACTGACACAGCCATTGTGAACCCCACTGACACGGCCATTGTGAACCCCACTGACACGGCCATTGTGAACCCCACCCACTGACACGGCATTGTGAACCTGACACGGCCATTGTGAACCCCACCCACCGACACGGCCATTGTGAACCCCACTGACACGGCCATTGTGAACCCCACCGACACGGCCATTGTGAATGACACGGCCATTGTGAACCTCACCGATACGGCCATTTTGAATGACACGGCCATTGTGAACACCATTGACACGGCGATTGTGAACCACAATGACACGGCCATTGTGAACCCCACCGATACGGCCATTGTGAACCCCACCGACACGGCCATTGTGAACCTCACTGACACGGCCATTGTGAACATCACCGACACGGCCATTGTGAACCCCACTGACATGGCCATTGTGAACCTCACTGACACGGCCATTGTGAACCTCACTGACATGGCCATTGTGAACCCCACCGATACGGCCATTGTGAACCCCACCGACACGGCCATTGTGAACCTCACTGACACGGCCATTGTGAACCTCACTGACATGGCCATTGTGAACCCCACTGGCACGGCCATTGTGAACCTCACTGACACGGCCATTGTGAACCTCACTGACATGGCCATTGTGAACCCCACTGACATGGCCATTGTGAACCTCACTGACACGGCCATTGTGAACCTCACTGACATGGCCATTGTGAACCCCACTGGCATGGCCATTGTGAACCCCACTGACACGGCCATTGTGAACCCCACTGACATGGCCATTGTGAACCTCACTGACACGGCCATTGTGAACCTCACTGACATGGCCATTGTGAACCCCACTGACATGGCCATTGTGAACCTCACTGACACGGCCATTGTGAACCTCACTGACATGGCCATTGTGAACCCCACTGACATGGCCATTGTGAACCTCACTGACACGGCCATTGTGAACCTCACTGACATGGCCATTGTGAACCTCACTGACATGGCCATTGTGAACCTCACTGACACGGCCATTGTGAACCTCACTGACACGGCCATTGTGAACCCCACTGACACGGCCATTGTGAACCACACTGACACGGCCATTGTGAACCACACTGACACGGCCATTGTGAACCCCACCCACTGACACGGCCATTGTGAACCCCACTGACACGGCCATTGTGAACCCCACTGACACAGCCATTATGAACCACAGTGACACGGCCATTGTGAACCCCACTGACACGGCCATTGTGAACCCCTCTGACATGGCCATTGTGAACCCCACTGACACGGCCATTATGAACCACAGTGACACGACCATTGTGAACCCCACTGACACGGCCATTGTGAACCCCACTGACACAGCCATTGTGAACCACAGTGACACGGCCATTGTGAAACCCACTGACATGGCCATTGTGAACCCCACTGACACGGCCATTGTGAACCTCACTGATACGGCCATTATGAACCTCACTGACACGGCCATTATGAACCTCACTGACACGGCCATTGTGAACCCCACTGACACGGCCATTGTGAAGCTCACTGACACGGCCATTGTGAACCCCACTGACACGGCTATTGTGAACCCCACTGATACGGCCATTGTGAACCCCCCCTGACACGGCCATTGTGAAACCCACTGACACGACCATTGTGAACCCCCCCTGACACGGCCATTGTGAACCCCACTGACACGGCCATTGTGAACCACACTGACACGGCCATTGTGAACCCCATTGACATGGCCATTGTGAACCCCACCGACACGGCCATTGTGAACACGACTGACATGGCCATTGTGAACCCCACCGACACGGCCATTGTGAACACGACTGACACGGCCATTGTGAACCCCACTGACACGGCCATTGTGAACCCCACCGACACGGCCATTGTGAACACGACTGACACGGCCATTGTGAACCCCACCGACACGGCCATTGTGAACCCCACTGACACGGCCATTGTGAACCCCACCGACACGGCCATTGTGAATGACACGACCACTGTGAACCCCACCCACCGACACGGCCATTGTGAACCTCACCGATACGGCCATTTTGAATGACACGGCCATTGTGAACACCATTGACACGGCGATTGTGAACCACAATGACACGGCCATTGTGAACCCCACCGATACGGCCATTGTGAACCCCACCGACACGGCCATTGTGAACCTCACTGACACGGCCATTGTGAACATCACCGACACGGCCATTGTGAACCCCACTGACATGGCCATTGTGAACCTCACTGACACGGCCATTGTGAACCTCACTGACATGGCCATTGTGAACCCCACCGATACGGCCATTGTGAACCCCACTGGCACGGCCATTGTGAACCTCACTGACACGGCCATTGTGAACCTCACTGACATGGCCATTGTGAACCCCACTGACATGGCCATTGTGAACCTCACTGACACGGCCATTGTGAACCTCACTGACATGGCCATTGTGAACCCCACTGGCATGGCCATTGTGAACCCCACTGACACGGCCATTGTGAACCTCACTGACATGGCCATTGTGAACCCCACTGGCACGGCCATTGTGAACCCCACTGACACGGCCATTGTGAACCCCACTGACATGGCCATTGTGAACCTCACTGACACGGCCATTGTGAACCTCACTGACATGGCCAGTGTGAACCCCACTGACACGGCCATTGTGAACCTCACTGACACGGCCATTGTGAACCTCACTGACATGGCCATTGTGAACCTCACTGACATGGCCATTGTGAACCCCACTGACACGGCCATTGTGAACCTCACTGACACGGCCATTGTGAACCCCACTGACACGGCCATTGTGAACCACACTGACACGGCCATTGTGAACCACACTGACACGGCCATTGTGAACCCCACCCACTGACACGGCCATTGTGAACCCCACTGACACGGCCATTGTGAACCCCACTGACACAGCCATTATGAACCACAGTGACACGGCCATTGTGAACCCCACTGACACGGCCATTGTGAACCCCTCTGACATGGCCATTGTGAACCCCACTGACACGGCCATTATGAACCACAGTGACACGACCATTGTGAACCCCACTGACACGGCCATTGTGAACCCCACTGACACAGCCATTGTGAACCACAGTGACACGGCCATTGTGAAACCCACTGACATGGCCATTGTGAACCCCACTGACACGGCCATTGTGAACCTCACTGATACGGCCATTATGAACCTCACTGACACGGCCATTATGAACCTCACTGACACGGCCATTGTGAACCCCACTGACACGGCCATTGTGAAGCTCACTGACACGGCCATTGTGAACCCCACTGACACGGCTATTGTGAACCCCACTGATACGGCCATTGTGAACCCCCCCTGACACGGCCATTGTGAAACCCACTGACACGACCATTGTGAACCCCCCCTGACACGGCCATTGTGAACCCCACTGACACGGCCATTGTGAACCACACTGACACGGCCATTGTGAACCCCATTGACATGGCCATTGTGAACCCCACCGACACGGCCATTGTGAACACGACTGACATGGCCATTGTGAACCCCACCGACACGGCCATTGTGAACACGACTGACACGGCCATTGTGAACCCCACTGACACGGCCATTGTGAACCCCACCGACACGGCCATTGTGAACCCCACTGACACGGCCATTGTGAACCCCACCGACACGGCCATTGTGAATGACACGACCACTGTGAACCCCACCCACCGACACGGCCATTGTGAACCTCACCGATACGGCCATTTTGAATGACACGGCCATTGTGAACACCATTGACACGGCGATTGTGAACCACAATGACACGGCCATTGTGAACCCCACCGATACGGCCATTGTGAACCCCACCGACACGGCCATTGTGAACCTCACTGACACGGCCATTGTGAACATCACCGACACGGCCATTGTGAACCCCACTGACATGGCCATTGTGAACCTCACTGACACGGCCATTGTGAACCTCACTGACATGGCCATTGTGAACCCCACCGATACGGCCATTGTGAACCCCACCGACACGGCCATTGTGAACCTCACTGACACGGGCATTGTGAACCTCACTGACATGGCCATTGTGAACCCCACTGGCACGGCCATTGTGAACCTCACTGACATGGCCATTGTGAACCCCACTGACACGGCCATTGTGAACCTCACTGACACGGCCATTGTGAACCTCACTGACATGGCCATTGTGAACCCCACTGACATGGCCATTGTGAACCTCACTGACACGGCCATTGTGAACCTCACTGACATGGCCATTGTGAACCCCACTGGCACGGCCATTGTGAATCCCACTGACACGGCCATTGTGAACCCCACTGACATGGCCATTGTGAACCTCACTGACACGGCCATTGTGAACCTCACTGACATGGCCAGTGTGAACCCCACTGACACGGCCATTGTGAACCCCACTGACATGGCCATTGTGAACCCCACTGACATGGCCATTGTGAACCTCACTGACACGGCCATTGTGAACCTCACTGACATGGCCATTGTGAACCCCACTGGCACGGCCATTGTGAACCCCACTGACACGGCCATTGTGAACCCCACTGACATGGCCATTGTGAACCTCACTGACATGGCCAGTGTGAACCCCACTGACATGGCCATTGTGAACCTCACTGACACGGCCATTGTGAACCTCACTGACATGGCCATTGTGAACCCCACTGGCACGGCCATTGTGAACCCCACTGACACGGCCATTGTGAACCCCACTGACATGGCCATTGTGAACCTCACTGACACGGCCATTGTGAACCTCACTGACATGGCCATTGTGAACCCCACTGACATGGCCATTGTGAACCTCACTGACACGGCCATTGTGAACCTCACTGACACGGCCATTTTGAACCTCACTGACACGGCCATTGTGAAACCCACTGACACGGCCATTGTGAACCACACTGACACGGCCATTGTGAACCACACTGATACGGCCATTGTGAACCCCACCCACTGACACGGCCATTGTGAACCCCACTGACACGGCCATTGTGAACCCCACTGACACGGCCATTGTGAACCCCACTGACACAGCCATCATGAACCACAGTGACACGGCCATTGTGAACCCCACTGACACGGCCATTGTGAACCCCTCTGACACGGCCATTGTGAACCCCACTGACACGGCCATTATGAACCACAGTGACACGACCATTGTGAACCCCACTGACACAGCCATCATGAACCACAGTGACACGGCCATTGTGAACCCCACTGACACGGCCATTATGAACCACAGTGACACGGCCATTGTGAACCCCACTGACACAGCCATCATGAACCACAGTGACACGACCATTGTGAACCCCACTGACACGGCCATTGTGAACCCCACTGACATGGCCATTGTGAACCCCACTGACACGGCCATTGTGAACCCCACTGACACAGCCATTATGAACCACAGTGACACGGCCATTGTGAAACCCACTGACATGGCCATTGTGAACCCCACTGACACGGCCATTGTGAACCTCACTGATACGGCCATTATGAACCTCACTGACACGGCCATTATGAACCTCACTGACACGGCCATTGTGAACCCCACTGACACGGCCATTGTGAAGCTCACTGACACGGCCATTGTGAACCCCACTGACACGGCCATTGTGAACCCCACTGATACGGCCATTGTGAACCCCCCCTGACACGGCCATTGTGAACCCCACTGACACGACCATTGTGAACCCCCCCTGACACGGCCATTGTGAACCCCACTGACACGTCCATTGTGAACCACACTGACACGGCCATTGTGAACCCCATTGACATGGCCATTGTGAACCCCATTGACACGGCCATTGTGAACCACAGTGACACAGCCATTGTGAACCCCACTGACACGGACATTGTGAACCCCACCGACACGGCCATTATGAACCTCACTGACACGGCCATTATGAACCTCACTGACACGGCCATTGTGAACCCCACTGACACGGCCATTATGAACCTCACTGACACGGCCATTGTGAACCTCACTGACACGGCCATTGTGAACCTCACTGACACGGCCATTATAAACCTCACTGACACGGCCATTATGAACCTCACTGACACGGCCATTGTGAACCTCACTGACACGGCCATTGTGAACCCCACCGACACGGCCATTGTGAACCTCACTGACACGGCCATTATGAACCTCACTGACACGGCCATTGTGAACCCCACTGATACGGCCATTGTGAACCTCACTGACACGGCCATTATGAACCTCACTGACACGGCCATTGTGAACCCCACTGATACGGCCATTGTGAACCTCACTGACACGGCCATTGTGAACCCCACCGACACGGCCATTGTGAACCTCACTGACACGGCCATTGTGAACCCCACTGACACGGCCATTGTGAACCCCACCCACTGATACGGCCATTGTGAACGTCACTGACATGGCCATTGTGAACCCCACTGATACGGCCATTGTGAACCCCACTGACACGGCCATTGTGAACCCCCCCTGACACGGCCATTGTGAACCCCACTGACACGGCCATTGTGAACCCCATTGACACGGCCATTGTGAACCCCACTGACACGGCCATTGTGAACCCCATTGACACGGCCATTGTGAACCCAACTGACACGGCCATTGTGAACCTCACTGACATGGCCATTGTGAACGTCACTGACATGGCCATTGTGAACCCCACTGATACGGCCATTGTGAACCCCACTGACACGGCCATTGTGAACCCCCCCTGACACGGCCATTGTGAACCCCACTGACACGGCCATTGTGAACCCCATTGACACGGCCATTGTGAACCCCACTGACACAGCCATTGTGAACCCCATTGACACGGCCATTGTGAACCTCACTGACACGGCCATTGTGAACCCCATTGACACGGCCATTGTGAAGCTCATTGACATGGCCATTGTGAACCCCATTGACATGGCCATTGTGAACCCCACTGACACAGCCATTGTGAACCCCATTGACACGGCCATTGTGAACCTCACTGACACGGCCATTGTGAACCCCACTGACACGGCCATTGTGAACCCCATTGACACGGCCATTGTGAACCTCACTGACACGGCCATTGTGAACCCCACTGACACGGCCATTGTGAACCCCATTGACATGGCCATTGTGAACCCCACTGACACGGCCATTGTGAACCCCATTGACACGGCCATTGTGAACCCCATTGACATGGCCATTATGAACCCCATTGACACGGCCATTGTGAACCCCACTGACACGGCCATTGTGAACCCCACTGACACGGCCATTGTGAACCTCACTGACACGGCCATTGTGAACCCCACTGACATGGCCATTGTGAACCTCACTGACACGGCCATTGTGAACCCCACCGACACGGCCATTGTGAACCCCACTGACACGGCCATTGTGAACCCCACCGACACGGCCATTGTGAATGACACGGCCATTGTGAACCCCACCCATCGACACGGCCATTGTGAACCTCACTGACACGGCCATTGTAAACCCCACCGACACACGGCCATTGTGAACCCCACTGACACGGCCATTGTGAACCTCACCGATACGGCCATTTTGAATGACACGGCCATTGTGAACCCCACTGATACAGCCATTGTGAACCCCACTGACACGGCCATTGTGAACCTTTGCGACACGGCCATTGTGAACCCAGACATAACCAACACGCACTCTCCTACCTCTCTCATCTCTCACTACTCTCCTCCATGCACTCTCCTACCTCTCCCCTCTCACCACTCCCCTCCACGCACTCTCCTACCTCTCCCCCCTCACTCCACTCCCCTCCACGCACTCTCCTACCTCTCCCCACTCCCCACTCCCCTCCACGCACTCTCCTACCTCTCCCCCCTCACTCCACTCCCCTCCACGCACTCTCCTACCTCTCCCCACTCCCCACTCCCCTCCACGCACTCTCCTACCTCTCCCCACTCACCACTCCCCTCCACGCACTCTTCTACCTCTCCCCCCTCACCACTCCCCTCCACGCACTCTCCTACCTCTCCCCACTCACCACTCCCCTCCACGCAATCTCCTACCTCTCAACACTCACCACTCCCCTCCACGCAATCTCCTACCTCTCCCCTCTCACTCCCTCTCTCCACGCACTCTCCTACCTCTCCACCACTCACCACTCCCCTCCACGCACTCTCCTACCTCTCCCCCCTCACCACTCCCCTCCATGCACTCTCCTACCTCTCCCCTCTCACTCCACCCTCCACGCACTCTCCTACCTCTCCCCCCTCACCACTCCCCTCCACGCACTCTCCTTCCTCTCCCCCTCACTCCACTCCCCTCCACGCACTCTCCTACCTCTCCCCCCTCACCACTCCCCTCCACGCACTCTCCTACCTCTCCCCTCTCACTCACTCCCCTCCACGCACTCTCCTACCTCTCCCCACTCAACACCCCCCTCCACGCACTCTCCTACCTCTCCCCACTCACCCCTCCCATCCACGCACTCTCCTACCTCTCCCCTCTCACCACTCCCCTCCACGCACTCTCCTTCCTCTCCCCCTCACTCCACTCCCCTCCACGCACTCTCCTACCTCTCCCCCCTCACCACTCCCCTCCACGCACTCTCCTACCTCTCCCCTCTCACTCACTCCCCTCCACGCACTCTCCTACCTCTCCCCACTCAACACCCCCCTCCACGCACTCTCCTACCTCTCCCCACTCACCCCTCCCATCCACGCACTCTCCTACCTCTCCCCTCTCACCACTCCCCTCCACGCACTCTCCTACCTCTCCCCCCTGACTACTCCCCTCCACGCACTCTCCTACCTTTCCCCTCTCACTACTCCCCCCCACGCACTCTCCTACCTCTCCCCTCTCACTCCTCCCCCCCACGCACTCTCCTACCTCTCCCCCCTCACCACTCCCCTCCACGCACTCTCCTACCTCTCCCCTCTCACCACTCCCCTCCACGCACTCTCCTACCTCTACCCTCTCACCCCTCCCCTCCACACACTCTCCTACCTCTCCCCCATCACCACTCCCCTCCACGCACTCTCCTACCTCTCCCCCCTCACCACTCCCCCCCACGCACTCTCCTACCTCTCCCCTCTGACTACTCCCCTCCACTCTATTCATAAAGAATACATGAACCCATCAATAGCAGGTGAGACGCACGCACCCAGGCACTGTTCCGGCCACACCTCCCCTTTTAGTCAGCCCACCCACCCCCGGCCTCGACATCCGCTCCCGACCAGCCGCTCGATCTCCGACCACAGCACAAGGTGGTTAGGGGGGCTGTTGTTGTTGTTGTCTGTCTTCCCCGACAGTCCGTGCGGTTCTGCCTCCTTGTGCTGGTCGCGGGGCTTGTCTTCGTGGCCGTCGTCATGGCGACGTGGACGGGGCCCCACCACCTACGAAGCCGACCCTCGCCTGAGCAGGCCCAGGATGCGCCGCTGATTGCTCCTCCTCCTGATCCCAGGCCCAGGCTCGGTCACGTGACCTGTGGTCGTGGCTTGAGGCGCTCCTCTGACCCTGACCTCAGGCTCGACTCCAAACCTCGCCCCGACTGTGACACCGACCCGAAACTCAAGCGTGCCACTCAGCTCAGGCCTGATTCTAGGCCCAATCTAAGACCTAACCCTAGCCCTACTACCATGCCCGGTTCTACCTCTACCTATAGACTCAAGCCACGACTCCGGCTTAAACCTAGGCCTAACCCACCACGCGACCAGCCCGGCCTTGGCGTTAGCACTGGTCCTCGAACGAGTTCTAACGCTACCATGGGCCCCGACGCAATTATCCCCAGCGTCAGCCCGAGCGTCAACAGAAGCAGGAGGCTAAAATCCAGACACCTCAATTTTAGGGTGAATTTGTGTTACAACTTCAGCCCTTTTCTGAAAGACTCGGGCCTCAGATCTAGGCACAGCCCTGGTACAACTTCCGATATGAGTCCTGACACTACCCCTACCCCTGGCACGAATCGCAATGACACTGCTGCCCCTCCCCGTGACACTACGCCTAACGCCAAGGCGACCCGTAAGCCGGCACCAAACTCGACCAAACCGGTGCCTGACTCCAACCCAAGTTCCAGCGGTCCGGGTAGGCTGAGGCTTCTCCGATCTCCACGAGCCTTTTCCCTCACCCGATTAGCTTCCTCAACCGCAACCACCACCACCACTACAAGCACTACCACCACCACCACTACCACCACACGTGGCATGGAAGCTGACGTCCAGCGTGCCGTGGGTGACGATAACATCGTCCGCCCAAGTTCGTCGTCTGTCACTCGTCCCGTGACCTCGCTGCATGGCAGGGGGTTCGAACCTTCCCGTGGAGGTCACTCCAGATCTCGTGGAGGCCACGGTCACAGTGGGACCAATCACAGAGGAGGAGGAGGGGGACTGAGCCGCAGAAGTTTAGCGCGGACGTCATCGTCGTCGTCGTCGAAGACCAGGGGTTCCGACCGCTGCCACCTCAACTTGGTGGAGGTTCGAGTGAGTGACTTGCAACTCGGCTTCCAGTCGGACGAGGTCATCTCCTTCCAGTTCTGCTCGGGCTCGTGTCTCCACGCGCGCTCCAACTACGACCTGGCCCTGTCGCGCGTCATCCACCTGCACCTGCCCTTCGCTCCGATCCGCAGACGACGTCGCAACCAGCAGCAGCAGCAGCAGGAGAAGCAGCAGGTGGAAAAGAAGGAACAGGCGTCAGTGGAGGAGGTGTCAGTGAGGATGAGGAGGAGGGTTGCAGGCGAAGGGGTGAACAGCGAGCAGCCGTGCTGCAGACCGGCCGCCTTCGAAGACGTCACGTTTCAGAACTCAGAACACAAGTGGCAGACGGTCGCTGATCTGAGCGCCAAGAGGTGCAAGTGCGTGCTGTAGATTGATGTTCGCCACGAGGAGTGAGGAGGAGGCTGACGAAAGGCGTGGATGAGAAGAGAGACACGGGGGAGCAGGATATCCTTACGCACACACACACACAAACTGCTTGCCAACGAATGCACCGCAATAGCTTTGCTGGTATTAGTCAAGGAGCTATGAACCATCATCACACGATCACGTTCGCTGTGGCTTTTTGAAGCCCTTCTGATGCAGCTGTCTGGAACGCTCTGCCTGCCCGGCATTAAGAAGCCACATGGATCTATGTACGTTTAAATCATCATCTAAACTGACAATCTTAATCTCCTTGGTTCTTTCGGTAAAGTCACGTAGAATGAAAATAATAAAATAATAAAAATTAAACATAATAAAATAATAAAAATTAAAACATAAAAAAATAAAAAAAATAATTATTTTATTATGTTCTATTTTTATTATTAAATAAAACGTAATAAAATAATTATTTGATTAGATTTTATTTTTATTATTTTATTATTTCCCTTCTACGTGATGACTTTACCGAAAGAACCAAGAAGATGAATCCCTGCTGCAGTCACGAAAGCTTTAAATCGAAATTTAAACTTAATCTCTTCATAACCGTTCGCGGTTGTTGTTGTTGTTTAGTTTGCTGTCCTCCCTCTGCACCTCCGATAACACTGGTCAACAACAAAAACAAAAACATGTTTTTCTGGCCTGGACTTTTGCAGCTGCTCTAGACTAATTTCAGGGTGCCGATTCCAAATCTGATCTCAGATTTGCTCTATCACATCTCATTTGATGCTATCGGCATACCTCATTTTCATTGATTTTACCCGAAATTAACTCTGTCACTTATGATTGCAAGTTGTTGCGAGTCAGTGACTGCTTTAGTGTTAAAATACGGTGCTGTATTTTTAGGATAGTGTGTTTATAATATCATTTTATGTAGATATCCACATTTCTTTAATATTTTTTTCCGCAGTTTTTATTGAAATATGCAATATTTGATATCTCAAAAACCTGATGTGATAGACAAAAACTGATGCCAGATTTGGAATCAGCACTCCAAAAATTACCTTAAAACCGTTGGAATACCTTATGCTAGAACAAGTGTGTTGACCAGTGTTATCCACAGTTGGTTGGCTGCGTACTGCGGATTCGGAAATTTGGGAGACCCAAGTGTCTGTGTAGTCGCCACGACGCTTGTGCCAGGCTAGGTGCACTTCGAGATGGTCACGTGCAGAAGGCTCTCGCTGTTGCTGGCAGGAGGTCACGGGACATATCCTGCAGGTGCCATGGGTTGACTGCTGTGCCAGGCTAGGTTCAGGGGGAGGTCACGTGACAGACCCAGCAGGTGCCATGGGTTGACTGCTGTGCCAGGCTAGGTGCATGAGGAGGAGGAGGTCACGGGGCAGACCCAGCAGGTGCCATGGGTTGACTGCTGTGCCAGGCTAGGTGCAGTAGAAGGAGGTCACGGGACAGACCCTGCAGGTGCCATGGTTTGACTGCTGTGCCAGGCTAGGTGCAGGAGGAGGTCACGGGACAGAGCCAGGTGCCATGGGTTGACTGCTGTGCCAGGCTAGGTTCAGGGGGAGGTCACGCTGCAGAGCCAGGTGCCATGGGTTGACTGCTGTGCCAGGCTAGGTGCAGGAGGAGGAGGTCACGGGACAGACCCTGCAGGTGCCATGGGTTAACTGCTGTGCCAGGCTAGGTTCAGGGGGAGGTCACGCTGCAGAGCCAGGTGCCATGGGTTGACTGCTGTGCCAGGCTAGGTGCAGGAGGAGGAGGTCACGGGACAGACCTTGCAGGTGCCATGGGTTGACTGCTGTGCCAGGCTAGGTGCATGAGGAGGAGGTCACGGGGCAGACCCAGCAGGTGCCATGGGTTGACTGCTGTGCCAGGCTAGGTGCAGGGGGAGGTCACGCTGCAGAGCCAGGTGCCATGGGTTGACTGCTGTGCCAGGCTAGGTGCAGGAGGAGGAGGTCACGGGACAGACCCTGCAGGTGCCATGGGTTGACTGCTGTGCCAGGCTAGGTGCATGAGGAGGAGGTCACGGGGCAGACCCAGCAGGTGCCATGGGTTGACTGCTGTGCCAGGCTAGGTGCAGTAGAAGGAGGTCACGGGACAGACCCTGCAGGTGCCATGGGTTGACTGCTGTGCCAGGCTAGGTGCAGGAGGAACAGGAGGTCACGGGACATACCCAGCAGGTGCCATGGGTTGACTGCTGTGCCAGGCTAGGTGCAGGAGGAGGTCACGTGACAGAGCCAGGTGCCATGGGTTGACTGCTGTGCCAGGCTAGGTTCAGGGGGAGGTCACGAGACAGACCATGTATGTGCCATGGGTTGAATGCTGTGCCAGGCTAGGTGCAGGGAGAGGTCACGGGACAGACCCAGCAGATGCCATGGGTTGACGGACTGAAATGACTGGCAGATGCACCAGCCGTGCTCCCCGAACTGTGCCAACTCGCTGCGTTTTATCCGCCCCGGCGCTCCACTCGTTGTTGTGAGCGTCGCTCCTCTGCCCTCTCCTGATGCTGTTTGCAGGGCCACTGCCTCCAACCTGGAACTTTGCGATACAATTACTTTCCAGAGCACACATGGGTCGGTTTTGAAGTTGACGTTGTAAATTCATGACGGTGGATTGGGGCATTCGCAAAGCGTATTTCACGCGTTAGCGCTGCGCAGATCTACATTTGCTTCTTGCAGTGGTGCAAATAACACAGCCAATAGAACGGCTGCTTGTTGTTGTTGTTGTGTGTAGTTTGTTGTTGATTAGCGCGGTTGGACTATGTACGGTGCGAAATAAGTTAAACATTCACGCACTACACTGCTATGTAGAACACTGCACACTTCTGTAAACGATACACTAGTATATACTACACTATACACTACACTATACACTACACTGCTGTACACTATACTGCTGTACACTACACTATACACTACTATACACTACACTATACCCTACAACACACTACACTATACACTACACTATAAACTACACTACTAAACACTACACTATACACTACTATACACTACACTACACACTACACTATCCACTGAACACTACACTACACACTATACACTACACTACACACTACACTATCTACTGAACACTACACTACACTATACACTACTAGACTATACACTACTAGACTATACACTACACTACACACTACACTACTATACACTACACTACACACTACACTACTACACTACACACTACACTACTATACACTACACTACACACTACACTACACACTATCCACTGAATACTACACTACACACTACACTATACATTACTATACACTACACTATAAACTACACTACACAACACTGGAGGACCAGGAGAGAGAGACACGCAATCTACAAATGTTCAGCAGCCAGGCATCGTCAGTGTCCGGGATCGAATCTTCCTGCACACCAGGCCAGGAAGATAACATCTCCTCGCACCCATCGTGTACGTCCCGTGTGATGTAGGTGTATTCCCCGGCGAGTATATTCCACGCGTGGCAATGCTTTACGCAAAAGGACGCTCTCTGTACGTTGCAGTTTCGCGAAATACTGGAGTCGAATCAGCCTCGCCTTGATCACTCCGCTGTTCAGCGCAGACCAGAGGTCGCAAACGGGTTTTGATTCCTTACCCGGCTACCCGTACCCGGCCGCACCAGGGTCGCAAACGGTTACCCCTACCCGTACCCGGCCGTACCTATACCCTACCCGTACCCATAGCCTACCCGTAGCCTACCCGTACCCTACCCGTACCCGTACCCTACCCGTACCCTACCCGTACCCGTACCCATTCCCTACCCGTACCCTACCCGTGACTGTACCCTACCCGTACCCTACCCATACCCCTACCCGTACCCTACCCGTACCCGTACCCTACCCGTACCCAACCCGTACCCGTACCCTACCCGTACCCTACTCGTACCCAACCCGTACCCTACCCGTACCCTACCCGTACCCGTACCCTACCCGTACCCTACCCGTACCCAACCTGTACCCTACTCGTACCCAACCCGTACCCGTACCCTACCCGTACCCTACCCGTACCCGGCCGGGTAACGGGTAGGGTATGGGTATCGGGTACCCAATTGCGACCTCTGGGATGAAGCCATGTTGCAGGCGCGGGTGGGTTGATTCTAGGAACTTGAATTGTGAGAAGAGACACAAGACTTTGGGAAATGAGTGACACACGGTGACTCACCAGTGACTCACGGTCTACCCGTACCCGGCCGCACTAGGGTCGCAAACGGCTACCCGTACCCGACCGGGTACGGGTAGCCGGGTATCGGGTAGGGTACGAGTATTGGATACCCGGTTGCGACCTCTGGTACAGACCACGGCGGGCGAGCCGGCATTGAATCCTCTCTGTTACAGGGGTCACCACGAATAGTGGGCGGAGCCATCTATGTAGTGGGCGGGGCCACGTGATAGTGGGCGTGGTTACCTGAGTTGTGGGAGGAGCCACGCGACGGTGACGCAATGCACAAGATGTGCAGTAGGCCTCGGCAAGGTAAGGTAATTGTACCCTTTTTAAAATCCTTTACATTAAGTTCGCGTGCTTGCTTGCTTGCGCGCTTACGACCGTGCAAATCTTGCGGTCGTTTTTTAACCCACTTCCCATGATCCAATCGAGCTGACATTTCGCACACAGACTCGTTGTGCGTGACAATGTATTTTCGTCAAATTTTTTTTCCAAAATTTTACACTTTTAGGAATTTTTTTTATATTTAATTACCAATTGCTTAATGGTGGCATGCAATCATCTGACCCATAGGTGGCAGCCATCTCAAGCCAGAGGACGAGAGGACTCTAGCCGCCACGCATATAAAGGATTTAGAGTGAAAAGCTTTGTTTTTACGGGTTAATTTTTTACCGGGTAAAAGGGTAAATGTGGCGACATGACAAGGGGTAAGGGTAAAGCTAGGGTAAAGGTAGGCTCGTTGTGTTTACACTTTTACCTTACTTTGCCGAGGGCTAACGTGCAGTGTACGGAATGAAACAGGCGCTTGGTCAACGACGCCGCTGGTCGCTTTCGCAACACGAATTGGAATGTATTTTTAGGGGATGCGGATTTCCCCCCATCCCCTCCCCCCTTCAGTAACGGGGTCGCGAACGTAATGGAACCGGGGTCGCGTTTGGGGCGGTCGAATGGCGAATGACCCCATTCATTCAAATCCAATCGTCATCATTTACGGTCATCAATTTCGCTTTCACCCAAAATTCACGCATCATAACAGAATCGCCACCCGTTGCTTCCTCCCGTCTCGTTCGCCTCATCTCCACCATTATGTTCACAGACACACACGTACGACAAACGTCGTCGTAGTCGTCGTCGT